ATATTTTAAGATGTAAGAATTAAGCATCTAGGTCGGTCGTTCCGAGTGAGTAGTTTTTGTAGTGTATTACTACGCAGTGTGATCAGGTTACTATCAGTTCCCACGTGCTGAGATTCTATGAACACCTGTGTTATGCATTTATGAATGTAATTTTTGTCAATGGGTCTAAGCATACAGAATGTAAATATTGTTTTGTATTCTCCGAAACTGTGCATTTTTAGCTCTGCTTATAGGACCGTTTCGTGTCGGTACCCGGTAGTTTCGGTACTTCAAAAAGAAGATTTTTCGGTACTTTTTGCAAGTCGTTTCGGTACCTGTATTTAAGTTTTTTCGGTACTTCAACAATTTTGATTATTATTTCGGTACTTCGTTTGTTAGTTAATAAATATTTCTCATTTGTTATTTATTGTTGGTTGCTTATTTAAATAACAGTACAAACTCATTTTGCGGTACCCTCACGTGACATATTAGATATGTTTTAACAAATTTTATTATATATATAAATAAACGTATATAAATGGATCAGATAACAGGCTGGGCCTATATCAATCTTCTCCATGATGGTGTAAGTATGATATTATATAAAAACATGTAATTAATAAGATATTTATATTTCAAGTTCGTGCTTATATCAAATATACATGGACTGTATCAAAACAAGCAAAGACAACTTCAGAAAATCTATTAAAGAAATATATTAGAAACATGAGCAAATCAAAAAAACAATCTGATACAAACACGTGTATTATAGCACAAGTTTGACTCCACACTTAGAGTTACTTCCCTTGAAGGTATACAACACGCAAAAAGTGGTGACGTTAATTTTAACTTGGTACCAAAATGTGTTTTCCAGAAGTACCGAAACGACTTTCAGAAGTACCGAAACGACTTCCAGAAGTACCGAAACGACCGGGAATCTAAACGACCGAGTACATAAACGGCCAAAGTGCGTTCGTTTATCGTGGAAAATGTCTGCGCCACACGTACTACCGTTTCAACGGGTATACGCGAATGTAACCATGTATTTAATTCGCTTGGAATAGCCGTATACATTCGTTTCGGTCGCGTTTCGGTTCCGATTCGGTCCGTTTCGGTGATTTGGTGAACCGTCGCCGCAATGGCGGACGTCAATTGGAGCGACGATGAGGCAATTGATGCGTTCTTCGGCAACAGCGATGATGATGATGATGATGATGATTTCGAAGGCTTCACAGAGGAGGACATTCAACACGTTCGTCGGAATATCATAGAAAATGTTCCAATGTCCGATTTCGCTCCAGAGAACGATCGGGACATTGCCGCTGACCTGGGAGCTGGGTGGAGTCGCGACGACGTTGATGTTGTCCTTGCACCTTTCACAGGTGAGCCGACCCTCAACATCGAAATGAGTGGCACTTTGCCGATAGATTTCTTCAAATTATTTGTTGATGATGCCTTTCTCATTGAACTTACAATAGAGACGAATCTGTATGCTCAAAACAAACTGAACAATCCTGACCTGAAACTGAAAGATCACAGTCGTATGAAAAAATGGCAGCCCGTTTCTATTGATGAAATGAAAGTATTTATTGCCCTGGTAATCGCGATGGAATTGGTGCAGAAAAATGACATACAGCTGTACTGGTCCAATGATGAGGCAGATGAAACACCGTTTTTCAGAAACCACATGTCCAGAGATCGTTTTTTGGCAATACTAAGTAATTTTCATCTGACCAACAATGATCTACAGGTACAGAGGGGACAGGTGGGATTCGACCCCCTTTACAAAATAAGACCATTTCTCAACATAGTTTTGGATAGGTTTTCTGATGTTTACTCACCTGAAAAAAATCTTTGCTTCGATGAGGCTACGTGTGCATGGAAAGGGAACCAACGCTTTAGAGTCTACAACCCTGCAAAGCCATCAAAGTGTGGTATCAAGCTGTACCAGGTGTGTGAGGCAAGTTCTGGATACTGTATCGGCTTTAACATATATACAGATAATACTGGAAGCTCCGCGTGTGTAGACTATGCTGACACTATACTTGGGGAGGAGAATAAGTGCTCAACTACTACACGTATAGTGCTTGGCCTCATGGCAAGATGTGGACTTTTAGACAAAGGGCATCATGTTTATATGCATAATTATTATTCGTCGCCTGAACTTTTCACAGAACTTCACCTGCAGAACACCTATGCATGTGGTACGTTACGAAAGAATCGTTTAGGTGTGCCATATGTAATAAAGAAACCTACCATGAAACTGAAACAATCGGAGACTATCTTCAGAAGAAATCAAAATCTTCTTGCTGTGAAATATCACGACAAACAAGATGTCCATATGCTGTCTACCATTCACAAGGCAACGGTCAGTGTTCTGGACAAAGTTGACTGCAACACTAACCAACAGGTAGCTAAGCCCACATGTATTGCAGATTACATTGCTGTAATGGGAGGGGTGGACTTGTCTGACCAGATCAATCACTACTCTTGCCTTCGCAAAACATCGAAGTGGTATAAGAAGCTCTTTTTCCATCTTCTGAACGTGTGCATCATCAATGCCTACATACTCTTCAAAAAGTTTGGACCAAATGATGGATGCAAGAAGGAACATCAGGCCTTTAGGATGGCTGTTTGTGAATCCCTACTCTCTGAGGCTGTGACGGCCCCTCGGCCATACGTGGAAAGGGGTAGAAAGTCTGTGGGAGTGAAACCAACACGCTTGACTGATCGTCACTTTCCGAACTACATCCCTGCTAAGCCCGGGGCAAAACGGGCACGCCCCTTACGTGAATGTTTTGCATGCAACGTAAAGAAGTCATTGAGAGAAACGTCCCAGAGGAAACAAACATCTTTCTGGTGTGAAGAGTGCAAAGTTGCACTGTGTGTACCAAAGTGCTTTCAGGTGTACCACACTATACAGAACTATAGAGGTGTTCTCTTACCTGGTGAAGAGAATTCATCACCCAGTGACTCAGAATAGATCATTTGTTCAGGACCTGTGTAAGTTAGTTTGTAGTTTCTGAGACTATGTAACACTTACTCAAACCAGGTTTCATGTAGAAAAAAGAACAAACATTGACAAAATGAGCAGAAGTAGCTTTTAATTCCCTAACGAGTTTCAGGTTAACCTGTCATTTTTAACCTGTCTATTTCCTCACATTTGTTATGAAAAAATCCCAAATATTAGTAATAAATGGAGTGAAAGAATGTATATAATTTCTATCAGATTAAAAGAAACAAAAAAATTACCTGAACTTTCCTTTATTTCTCACCTGTACAGGTAATTAATGATGAAATTCCATGTTCGTCGACAGAAATGAAAACTTGAGATGCCAAGAATGATTTTACATTTTACTTTTTTTACACCAAACAAATACTTTTCAAAATACAGTAGTTTCAAAACAGCATGTAATAATTAATAATTTCATTAAGTTATTCAGCAGTGGTGTCCCTTTACATATTGGCATATATTTTCTACATTGTAACCCACGCAATGTACATGTATAACCCCCTACATAGGTTCACTTGATTCACTATCAAGATCACATATGTCAAATGTGTTAAAATCTTTCAATGATTTTTATTAGCTCACCTAGTCCGAAGGACCAATGTGAGCTTATGCTGTGGCGTCGGGCCATCGTCCGTCGTCTGTACGTCAAGAATTTCTTCAAACGACCTCTTCTTCTTAACCACTGATTTGAATTTGACTAAACTTGATTGGAAGCATCCCAAGGTAATGGGGATTCAAAATTTTACAAATGGTGGGGCTGAAGCATTCCTAGTTAGTGGGGATTTAAAATTGTACAAATAGTGGGGCTGACCCCCCAGAGTGGTGCTGAGGGGTGGGGCCAAAAGGGGACAATCTGGCTATATTGATATAAACGACTTCTTCTCTGGAACTAAGACATGGATATCAACCATATTTGACTGGAAGCATCCCTAGGTAGTGGGGATTAAAACCTGTACAAATGGTGGGGCTGAACCCAAGGGGGATGACGGGCGGGGCCAAAAAGGGCTTTTTTGCTACATTGCTTTAAGCGACTTCTTCTCTGGATCCGGAACCAAAAGATGGATATCAACCATATTTGACTGGACGCATCCCTAGGTAGTGGGGATTAAAACTTGTACAAATGGTGGGGCTTAACCCCAGGGGGATGACGGGCGGGGCCAAAAAGGGCTATTTTGATATCCCCACCCCAAAACTATACATATGTATATACAATTGTTGGGCATAAAGAGACAAATGCTGTCATGATGTTAGAATTGACCCCGGGATCCGCCCCACCCTTGCAAACTTAACTCCTTGGTCATAACTTTTAAAAGGTTGAGATCCCAAACCCAAAACTACATATCCAAATGCTGGCCATAAAGAGACAAACGCTATCATGATATTAGAATTGACCCCATGATCTGTCCAAACCCTTGCAAACTTAACCCCTGGGTCATTACTTTGAAACTGTCGAGATCCCCACCCCAAAACTATATATCCAAATGCTGTCATGATATTAGAATTGACCCCAGGATCTGCCCCACCCTTGCAAACTTAACCCCTGGGTTATTACTTTGAAACTGTCGAGATCCCCACCCCAAAACTATATAAACAATGATTGGGCATAAAGAGACAAATGCTGTCATGATATTAGAATTGACCCCAGGATCTGCCCCACCCTTACAAACTAAACCCCTGGGTCATAACTTTGAAACAGTTGAGTTCCCAACCCGTAAACTATATAGACAATGATTGGGCATAAAGAGACAAATGCTGTTATGATATAAGAATTGACCAGGGGATCTGCCCCACCCTTGCAAACTTAACCCCTGGGTCATAACTTTGAAACGGTCAAGATCCCCACCCCAAAACTATATATCCAAATGCTGGGCATGAAGAGACAAATGCTGTCATGATATTAGAATTGACCCTGGGATCTGGCCACAACCCTAGGGACCTAGTTTCTTAGTCACAGCTTGGAAACAGTTGAGACCTCCACCCCATAACCATACATAAACTTGCTGGGCATGAACAATCTAATACAGATATGCTACAAGGTTTCGCCTTAGGGTCTAGGCCATTCCCTGGGATCTCATAAGGAGAATATTTTGCCATGATTGCTTAGATATCCAGGTGAGCGATACTGGGCTTCTTGTTTTTCTGGTTAACCGAGATGTCTACAGTCACAATATTAAGTGTGCTGGATGCTTGGTTCAATGCCCGTCAAGTTTGTTCAAATGAACAGCATTGCTTCATAAGGCGTAATACTCTTGCTTGCTATCAAGTTTGTTTAAATATATTTTATGTTTACCCACTTTGAAGGTATGAGATGTACTTTGTATTTGACAACACAACGGAATAATAGGTGATGGATACATGCCAAATAGACCACTTGCTAGGTCATCTGAGCCTAAGTTCATTATCTGTGCGAGACTGTCGTGTGTAAATGTTATACTATTACTTCTTCTCAAGAACACACGAAGATGATTTATTCAAAATAAGTTGCTACCATGCTTAGGAAATGGTGATATGAATTTGATAAAATGAGAGGATTCAGCCCTTTTTATGTATGAGACTAAAGGGCACAAAATAAAGGTAATGTTACACAAATTTTAAATTCCTCTTCTCAAGAACTACAAATTGCAGAGCTTTTCTCTTTCATATGAAGAACATTAAAACTGCTCATTTCGTTACCATTGGATCCCAAATGGAGTGGCAATTAGGGAAAATTATATAAATACTTATCAAATAGCTTTGTCATGTTTATAGATTATTTCAGTCATAATTGTTCGTGAGAATAACACCAATTATATGCAACATGCCAAATGCATCAGGGTTCTTGACCCTGAGAGAAAGGTATAGGTGGTCTCAAATAATGGGAAATACATGAAATATCTTCTTAAAAAACTACGGGTGCAAGAACTTAATCTTTCATTTATGTGTTTTGTATTCCTAATGGGGTTTCTTTAATGGGTCAAATTTTGCTATAAAGTCAAAGGTAAAATGCCATAAAACTATTTCTGAACTTTGGCAACTTACTTTATTTTCAAATTTCTAACAAACGCTAAACAGATTAGTATTAAATTCGATAAGGAGATTCCTTAATCAGCAAACAGGGATTCAAGGTTGTTCAAATGAGGGCTCAAACTGTAAGGGGACAAGAGATCAGGGCTAAAATGTGGAAAATCTCCTTCAGTACAGGTGTAGCGGTTTGATACCCAGGTGTGAAAATATCTGGGGTCATCAGGCTGATAACATGGTTTACTGGAGTACAGAAGATTGTTTTCTCATACTAAGACCCCCTGTTACAGATGCGTCCATTTGGCCCAACAAGAGAACGCAATATTAATTTGCCTCGAAACAAATGTTTTATAATACATTTGTAATCATATGATTAATAGTACCCACCTTTACAAATATGCACTGATTCTTATCATTTAAACACTTGACGCAATGCTGATATATAAATATTTAGGAATATTTTGAGGCACGGTAGTCCAGTGGTAGGATGCCGGGCTCGTGACTGAAGGGTTGCGGTTCTCTCCATGGCACGGCAATGTGTTGTATCCTTGAGCAAGATACTTTACTCCACTTGTTCCAGTCTACTCAGCTGTAAATGAGTATGTGGTTGGGCAGTGCTAGAATTGTTGAATGCTAGCTGTTAGCGCCGAAATGGCAGCTCTGGCTGTATGCTCCCCAGGGAGTTGAGAAATGTATTGGCTAGTTGCAAAGGCCCTATAACCACGGATAATAATTTGTGAACTGCTTTGAGATGACCTACGAACTAGGATGTGATAAAGCGGTATAAAAGAACCTCCAATTATCATTATTATTATTATAAATAAATTTTCTTGGATATCAGCATTATAATTTACAACCATTCCTAGCCTCAATACAGTTTGAACAAAATTAAGATCTATGAAAATTGGACAGGCAATTAATAAAGTAATAATGAAATAACAAACTATTTTCAGAGAGAGAAAAAAACAATGTACCAATATTGATAATTGATTTCAACAAGGTAGAACACCACTGGGTATGTTTGAATATATTAAGCATCAAAGCTGTGGCAATAGTAAAGGTAGAGCTGACAGAACTACGAATTTGAAAAGTAACCACCTAATTCGGCTGGTATGCCAAGCAAGTTGTGTCTCTTGAACGATAATTTTAACTAAAATAAGGGAAGTTTACAAAGTCCTTGGCTCAGGTGGACAAAAAAAAGAAAAAGACAGTACAGAAATAAAGACAAATTGTTATGTAAGCAGCTTTAATAGGGTAGATATAACATTTGTACAGAAGTGGCACAATCTTGGCATATTGTAATCATGATCAAGTAGGTTTTACAATAGCATCATCATTGATCATCCTTAGCCTTTCATCCAGTTCTAACAGGCATCACAAGTAATAACTAACAAACAATACATTTCTCTCAATTTAGTACATACCTATGTAATCTTACAATGGTAATACACCAATTTTCTGTTGCTCCTTGCTTTTCTCTTATTTCCTGCTGATTTGGGGTATTTTAAAGCATTACCTACTTTTTTTTCTGGTTAAACATTGAAAGAAAAGATATTTAGATACAAATACTACAAAAGCATGTAGTTATTTTATTGCCTTTTGTGATGCTTCAAAATCCTATCCTGCCAAACTTAAAGTTTACTAGCATAATTTGGTCTACTTTCAAATGAAATCCATTAACATCTTTTAAAAATACAATTCTATACTTTATCAGTAATTTGCAAAATTAAAATGTCATGAACAGCTCTAGGTACCAATGCACAGAATTCCTTTGTGATAATTAGCAACACCAGTAGTGAGCAGCAACACCAGTAGTGAGCAATGTGAATAGGATTACTTTCCTAAAAGCTTTTATATCAACAGTGTACAACCTTGTACAGTTACAACATGACTCACTGGGCTGAACGGTAAACTCTATTCTAATCTTCACACAGCTTATGTTATGGAAAACAGTGAACCATACCTTTTGATCAAAATATTATTCTGCGGTCAAACTTAGAATGAAGAACATTTCGAAAAAGGAGAAAACAACACATTAGATAAGTACCAATTAACATACAATAAACACAATATAGATTTAATAGAGTTAATATTTTCTTTAAATATGATAAAATAAAATATATTTGATACATCATAGTTAACTTTATGTTAACTAACATTAACAAATACATGGATTCACATGACAGAATTAATACACAGGTTAATGTTATATAATAATATACTGTTACAGGGGAGTATAACATTCTGAGATTTTTCCAAACAGTGCACCTCTTTGATAAATATTGTATTACATATTCACTCAAGTCAAAAACAAGAAGCCGGCGCTAACATAAACACTGCATGTGTGAGGATAAATCATCTAAAACATGAAAACTTTAGATCATTTGAATAATTTCAAATACTTGTTAAAAACTAATACTACAGAAAAATTTCAATTAACAGCTCATCAAGTTATAACCAAACAGCTGGGCCCTGTTGGATATTCTAACCTGTAGTAAACAATATCCCTCACCGGGGACTCACCGGGGACTCAGTGGGGATTACACAAAGGACGTCCTTCCCTATCCGCATCTTAGGAGCTGTCCGACATCAGAACATGACCTGGATGGGCAGGACTTAAAATCTCTGAGGGCCTGGTAAGCGGTAACTTACCCCCTCATGTCGACCAAACACCGACTTCGTCAGTGAGTGTAGACGTAAAACCCTTTAACTAACCAAACAACCAGGACTCATGCACTCACACTGACATCACATTATCTTCATCAACCCCAACTCCGAGTGTTCACATTATCATCTACTCATGCTCACACCACTATACTACCCACTCACATCTACTCACACATACCAAAAATACTGATTTCTGATAAACGGATCTAGGATTTCATGACTCAAGTTACAAGTCTAATATCATTCCATCCTGGCAAGGATGATCGCAGTCCTGCTTGGGGCATACACCTGTCAAAAAGGAAACGAGTCACATTGTTCACCAGCAAAATCATTCAATGAATCAATGTATTTGTACATACAGTTGTATATACTATTACAACCTGGATATTTTTCTGGAGTAAGAGCATACATAGAGCTTTGAAATGTTTTGTTAGTTTTCTTATAATCTTTCTAGAACAAGAGGCCTAATGGGCCTGCATCGCTCACCTGGTATTCATCTGCTGACACTTGCTACCTTAAAAGTGGACTAAATAAAGCTACATCAGTAGTAAAGACTATAAGTCATTCAAAAGAACCTATTAAAATATTTAAACACATTTGACCTCTGTGACTTTGAAAGTTAAACAAAGACATACAGTTGAACAAACCTAATAGCCCTTCATATCAGCAGCAACGTGTCAAATATCACCAGTCGAGATCTTTTGTTCATTGAAATTAGGTCACTTAAAGGTTTATACACATTTGACCCAGTGACCTTGAACATACATCAAGGTCATTTATTTGATCAAACTTGGTAGCCCTTCATCTAAGCATGTTACTGACCAAATATAATCATCCTGGGCCTTTTGGCTGTTCAGAAGAATTTGTTTGAATATTTAAAACATATTTGACCCCTGTGACCTTAAATAAACGTCAAGGTCATTCATTTGAACAAACTAAGTAGCCCTTCAATCATCCTGAGCATTTTGGTTATTCAGAAGAACTTGTTTAAGGGTTTATAACATATTTGACACATGAGACCTTGAATATAAGACAAGGTCATTCCTTTGAACAATCTTAGTAGCATTTCATCAAAGCATGCTATTGGCAAAATATCAATATTTTTTGTTACTCAGAAGAACTCTTTTACAGGTTTAAAACATATTTGACCCCTGTCAAGGTCATTCATTTGAACAAACTTGGTAGGCCTTCATCCTGCATGTAATTGGCCAAATATAATCATCCTAGGCCTGATGGTTATACAGAAGAAGCTGTTAAAAGATCTTAACATATTTGGCCCCTGTGACCTTGAAATTCAATGAAGGTCATTCATTTGAACAAGTTTTGTAGTCCTTCATCCCAGTATGTTACTGGCCAAATACCATTACCCTAGGCCTCTTGATTATTCAAAAGAAGTTGTTTTACAGTAAAAAGTTACGCCGGTCGGCCAGCCAGATGACGGACCCCGCACCATGGCATAAGCTCACTTGGCCCTCAAAAAGGAGTCTGGCCTGTTACCAAGTTTATTTCCTTCTTTATCATATATGTCTTACTGTATAACATGAAACATTTGGAGGTTATCTTACAGATTTGACTTTACATACTAGTTTCGATGACACAAACTTTCCTATTCTATACTGGTACATTTGAACCGGTTCCACTGTAACCATAGCAACTGCTAAAGTTAATTTACAGCCACAGGATAGTGTGAAAATGTATTCCTATGACCTGGTGTAGGTTCATCAAGGACTCACCATCATAGAACATCTCCGGTTGTCCCAGGGTTCCTCGGAGGTCACATTCTCTACACTGTGGTCTAGACGTTTATGTCCACCAAACTCCTCTGCATCAGAGTCCAGCACAAGCTTGTATCTTAGGGAGTGAAGGAATGTTAACAAGGAAAGTTTTTTTTATTTTTATACCTTGAACATGGAATATTTTTCATAGTTTCTCAACAACTTAGGCATAGCCCAGCCAGACGTTGTAATGTAAATAATGTTTCATGAGAGATTTCTTTTTTTTTAATACCCCAGGAGAAAATATCAAAACTTTAAACATCTCGCAAATATTTGAACTGGTATCTTCAGTACCTTGTATAATATTTTTTCCCATAGAAGCATCTTCACTCCCATGTGATGTATTATTACATGTTTTTTCACTTAGACATACAAATATCTACAGTCCCCTGTGACATATTATGGTATTATACATGAAGGTAAGAGATATCCTGTCCATGTCAAGTCAGTATTTGAGATAAAGGATACTTTCCAGGGTTGTTGACACCGATCTTATAATCAGTATAGCTCTTGGTGGGGTGGAAGTTAAACACAAACACAAGGCGATCTGCTCTGTCAAACACAATCATCTTATCTCCTTCATGTTTCCTGCTTAAATAGTTCTGTAAAAGAATCAAATTCAGGTCAAAAAATATGTTTTTTCATATATCAATACTGCCATTAATACATAGTTATCAATACTGAACCCTTATATACCTGCGAGTAACTGAGTCCCCTTTACATAGATATATACAGCATTTGATATAGCGCCCTATCTAGCTAACATAAGCCACTCTAAAGTGCTTTACAGTACATAGATATACAAGTAATACAATTAGCATATACATTAATCGATACAATTTTGAGGAATTCGCAGGAGCTGCCTTATCAAGCACTAACTACTAGTCCTATGCCACCTGGCTAATATCTCCCTATGTGTGTATGCCTGCGTGTGTGCTGGAGATGTAATGTGTTCTGCTTGTAGTGGGACTGTGCTTCCAACGGCATCATGTATAGTGCCACCTTACTTGAATGCTACAGCACAGATACCGCAACATNCTTGTAGTGGGACTGTGCTTCCAATGGCATCATGTATAGTGCCACCTCACTTGAATGCTACAGCACAGATACCGCAACATCCACCATAGACCAATTTATACTCCACCTGGGTTGTTGGAGTTGTGGGGGCAGGAGAAAAACAATTTCTCTCAAGATCGAACCCCGACTGTCTGCGTGGAAGGCTGGAGTGTTAACCACTCGACCAATCTGCCCATAGATACCTGTGAATTACGGAGTCACCTTTATGTAGATACCTGTGAGTTACGGAGCCACTTGTATTTCTCCTCCGCCTGCATCATAGCACGATCAAAGTTGTTGAGGTACTGGTATTTGAGGGTTTTGTCATCCAACAGGTTCCATTGTCGCCGACAATAGTGGAAGCTTTCATTGTTACCCACTCGCGGGAAGTCCAACCACTCTGGGTGTCCAAACTCATTACCTGGGTACAAAGGTCACATATCAATCAAGAGTCTTGTATCTCCGACTTTTGGATATTTAGAAGGGTTACTTACTTACATAACTAAAACAGGTGATGTCAAATGACAATGTTCATACCTCCATCAACAAGAGATCACTGGGAGGGATCTTGGCACCCACCATTGCACCATCCTCATTAGTTTTATTTCAGTAACCATGCACAATTAAGAACCAAGGAAAACCTATGGAACAAATTTGAGAAAGATCCATCCAGTACTTTCTACGAAATAGCAATAACAAACCTTAACTGTCAAAATCCAAGACGGCCACAAGTCAGCCATTTCATTTATCCGATCAGTCTCAAAAGTAGATATACACAACAAGAGACCAAGGCACCTACATATCAAATGTGACAGAGATTCTTCCAGGACTTCCCGAGAAAAAGCGATAACAAGCATTCACTGTCAAAATCAAAGATGGCCACTTATCGGCCATTTTGTTTATCCGACGAGTCTCAAAAGTGAACAAACACAACTAAAGACCAAAGGAAACTTACATATCAAAGGAGAAGGATTTCTCCGGGACTACTTAAGAAATATCAATAACAAACATTCACTGTCAAAATACAAGATTGCCACCTGTCGGACATTTTGTTTATCTGATCAGTCTCAAAAGTAAACATGCACTACTAAGGACCAAGGGGAACCTACATATCAAATTTGAGAAAGATCCCTCCAGCACTTTCTGAGAGATAGCGATAACAAGAATTGTTTAAGGACCGACAACAGATGGACAGATGAAGGACGACAGGTGTTTTGAATAGCATACCATCATCTGACGAAAAGCGGAACTAGAAACCATTGGGAACTTTTATGTAAAATTTGAGAAAGATCCCTACAGTACATTCTAAGAGATTACGCTAACAAATTCAAATTCAAGATGGCTGCCTGTTGGCCATCTTGTTTTGTGATCAGTCCCAAAAAATGAAATGCACGACAAGGGATGAGGGGGAACCTGTATGTGAAATTTGAGAAGTAACCCTCCAATACATTTTGAGAAATAGCGCTAAAAATCTTTCATTCTCAAATTTAAAATGGTTAGCTGTAAGCCATTTTGGTTTTGGGATCAGTCCCAAAATAGGATATGCATAACTAGGGATCATGGGGAACCTTCATGTAAAATTAAAGAAAGATCCCTCCAGTACATTCTGAGAAATAGTGCTAACAAACTTTAACTTTCAAATTGAAGATGGCTGCCTGTCGTCCATTTTGGTTTTGCGATCAGTCCCAGAAAAACGATATGCATCACTAAGGATCATGGGGAACCTTCATCTGAAATTTGTGAAAGATCCCTCTAGTTCTTTCTTAGAAATAGCGCTAACAAGAATTGTTTAAGGACGGATGGAATGACGGACGGACCACAGACGCAGGGTGATTTGAATAGCCCACCATCTGATAATGGTGGGCTAATAAAGTTAAGGCACCCTTTTCTTCCAGTTCTTGCCTATAAAGTTAAGTCACCCTTTTCTTCGGATTCGCGCCTATACTTTAAAGTTAGGGCATCCCTCTCTTCCAATTCTCACCTATAAAGTTAAGGTAGCCCTCCCCTCCAAGTCCACATGTCAGGAGACGAATCATTTTGTGGAGGGCGATACCCCTGTCAATCACCAGACTGGGTGGGGAGAGATTAGACATATTGGTGTACATCTCCTTGTCCATCAGCCAGAAAGCAACCGTTTTATCCCCAACAAGTGCCTGGTCATGGCTCTCAGCATACGCAATACACTTCTCCCCGTAGCGACGATTTGTAAGGTTATGACATATATGGGACATATCCCAATCGTCATCACTCTTGTGCTTCAAATACTACAAAGATTGACAGAGCAGCTAAATTAATAGTACATAAACCAGAAATTAAATTAAAATTTCTTTTGGCGTTCATTACCTGGTTATACAGGTAATGGAGGTCAGACCAATTATAATCTTCAAATCATGGCATCAAAAGTGAAATGATCATCAACTCAATCTCTTACCTTAATCCATAAATCTGGTATAGCCATGGCAAGTCTGTAATCAAAACCACCTCCACCTTCCTGTACTGGTCGGCAGAGCCCGGGCATCCCCGACACATCCTGAAATAGGGGAGGCAACTAAGGTTATAGTGAGGTAGTGTCACCAAGTGTATATGAATAGGGACAGACAAAATCAATCAAACCAAGTCGATATTACAATAAGGACAAAATCCTGGCTACTGTTTGCTTAAACACTGCAAAGGTAGCAGTATTCATTAGAGTTTGCTGGCCATTGTTGAACATTTCGTACCATGAATAACCCTTGTAATATTACATGTATCAAGACTTTTTTTAACAAGGGTACCATGAAAGCGGAACATAATACGCCCTTAATACATTGAATGAGCAGTTGTCTGCATGGTTGTACATTAAGGGCCATAACTCTATCAGTTACAGTTGCATAATGGTGGTTATCGAACTTGTCCAAACTATCATGGCAATGAACTTTTCTGTAAATTTTGATGTTAATCCTGAGGAAACATCTGAAAATATCAAGCGGACACTGTTTAGGCAATTGAATAAAGGGCCATAACTCCGTAAATTACAGTCCGATAATTGCAGTTATCAAACTTGCCTGAACTATCATGGCAATGAACCTTTCTTTGAAGTTTGAAATTGGATCCATTGAAACTACTCAAGATATCGTCCAGACACTGTTAGCACCCACCTGCCCGTTCACATAATAATATTATATGTTCCGTCATTCGATGGGCCTATACAAATCAGAAGTAAAATTGGCTTATTAATGATGAAGTACTTTTTACCCTTTTCGCCATTACAAATCTCAGGTGTCTTCCCAACAAAAGCTAGCTTAACTTGATGCCTATTTTGTACTCAACACATTTGTAAATAATTTGAAAAATGTAATTGAATCATGTTTGTTTATCCATTTTTATGTGTTTTTTAAAGTGGTAGCTATGGCTTTCACAGGTCCGAAATTTGGGGAAAACTCTTTTTTTGAACATTTTCATTTCTCTCAAAATGTTATGTTGTACATTGTAGTTTATAAATACATGTATATATGAAGGTATGTTCTGAAGGACAAATTCAGTATCCATGTATTTTTGATATGCCCTTTATTTTTATGTTCAGGCCATTTCTACTTTACATTGTGTAACAGCTAAGAAATATAAGGGGGAAATACTGTCTAATACTGGATCCGCTCTCTAGTTCAGCAACATTGAAAGTGGTCCGTAAAGTTGGATGGGTGACCTCCCCACAAAGGGGAACCTACATATTAAATTTGAAAAAGATTCCTCTGATACTTCCCGAGAAATAGCGATAACAAACTTTCAATATCAAAATCGAAGATGGCAGCCTGTCGGCCATGTTATTTATCCGATCAGTCTCAAAAAGTTGCACTGCACAGCTAAGGACCAAGGGGAACATACATATAAAATTTGAGAAGGATCCCTCTGGTACTTCCCGAGAAATAGCGATAACAAACTTTCACGATCAAAATCCAAGATGGCTAACTGTCGGCCATGTTGTTTAGCCAATCAGTCCCAAAAGTTGCACTGCACAGCTTCGGATCAAGGGGAACCTACATATTAAATTTGAAAAAGATTCCTCTGATCCTTCCCGAGAAATAGCGATAAAAAAATTTCAATATCAAAATCAAAGAGGGCTGCCTGTCGGCCATGTTTTTTCTCCGATCAGTCTCAAAAGTTGCCCTGCACAATTAAGGACAAAGGGGAACCTACATATACAATTTGAGAAAGATCCCTCAAGTACTTCTTGAGAAATAGCGATAACAAACTTTCACGATCAAAATCCAAGATGGCTAACTGTCGGCCATGTTGTTTAGCCAATCAGTCCCAAAAGTTGCACTGCACAGCTAAGGACCAAGGGGAACATACATATAAAATTTGAGAAAGATCCCTCTGGTACTTCTTGAGAAATAGCGATAACAAAATTTCAATATCAAAATCAAAGAGGGCTGCCTGTCGGCCATGTTGTTTATCCGATCAGTCTCAAAAAAACGCCCTGCACAGCTAAGGACAAAGGGGAACCTATATATTAAATTTGAGAAAGATCCCTCTGATACTTCCCGAGAAATAGCGATAACAAACTTTCAATATCAAAATCAAAGATGGCTGCCTGTCGGCCATGTTGTTTATCCAATCAGTCCCAAAAGTTGCACTGCACAGCTTAGGATCAAGGGGAACCTACATATTAAATTTGAGAAAGATCCCTCTGATACTTCCCGAGAAATAGCGATAACAAAATTTCAATATCAAAATCAAAGATGGCTGCCTGTCGGCCATGTTGTTTATCCGATCAGTCTCAAAAAAATGCCCTGCACAGCTAAGGACCAAGGGGAACCTACATATAAAATTTGAGAAAGATCCCTCTAGTACTTCTTGAGAAATAGCGATAACAAACTTTCACGATCAAAATCCAAGATGGCTGCCTGTTGGCCATGTTGTTTATCTGATCAGTCTCAAAAGTTGCCCTGCACAGCTTAGGACCAAGGGGAACCTGCATATAAAATTTGAGAAAGATCCCTCTGGAACTTCTTGAGAAATACCGATAACAAGAATTGTTTACGGACGGACCACGGACGCAGGGTGATTTGAATAGCCCACCATCAGATGATGGTGGGCTAAAAAATGATTGAGCTGTCATGTAACCGCACAACAACTGTTAAGGCCATGACTGATGGAGGCATCAGATACCACCAAAATTTAGAACATATTGTCGCCAAATGCCAAAATTTGACTCACCATTTAACCACCCTATTTTGAGGGAAAACACCAAAATATCCTGAAATACGGTGGTAAAACGAAATGGACTTGGCTGGGAAGACACAGCCAGATCATATCTCCAAGGGGAGACAATCATGGTCATAACACAATATGACTGAAAGAGACATCCCTGGCTACAACGGGGAAACCTGTCTCATCCAACATAATGATTTCATCCTACTTCTAATAAAAACTACAAAATTAAGACCTGTGTATTCTGACATCCCTTTTAAACAGACCAATAAATTGTGTCCCACAGGTGATTGGAGGCTATCCTGCGACTTACCTCTGCCACGGTAATCATGAAGTCGGGGTACAGGGAATGTAACATGTGGTTACCAACCATCAAGTACACGAGGGCGTCCGTATCACCATTCAGTCCAAAGTACTCGTTATAATCACCACTAAATCCATGGCCTGAAGAGAAAACCAGATCCTCTTAATCACAGGACTGTATATCTCTGTTTAACATGATAAAAGTGCACACATTTTATCAAACAGGAAGGAGTGGTCATGAAGTATTCCTACTGGCATAGGCAGCCTGTCTTGTTGTACCACTGTTCAGGAGATATATAATTACGTAAATACTTTCTTAAAGCATTCAACTGGCCAATAATACTACATATAACAGTAATAATGTAGAACATTATCTTATGTAATGTGTGTACACATCCTTGTCATACTACAATCTCTACAAACTGTATATATCTGTCTGTAATTGTGTAATGTATTAAATTACTGATGAGCTAACTACTCAAGGCTTGATAAGGCTCTTGAATCTTGTAGTACTTTGGTTTGATCGGCTTGTAGATAACTCTAAGTAGATGAGATGTTTACCCATTCCGTGGGAGTGATATAACATGGAGGTGACACCGTCGAAGCGATATCCATCGAACTGGTACTCCTCTATCCACCAGCGGAGATTGGACAGCAAAAACCTCATCACCTCCCACCTGTCAATCAAACCAATCAACAATGATGATATTCAATAGGGTAGCATATCTTCATTCTAGCTGAAACACACATTTCAGCTAAGGCTATACCTTCTTACACCACAAACAGTAGGTTTTTTTAAGCTTTAGAATATATTGTGTCATATATTTATGAAAATAATATAAATATTTGAAATTAATAAAAGATAGAAATTTTGGCCCTACAATAATACAATTTATACATTTACACTTTATTTTACAACAACAATGAAACAACTTGTTCCCACTCCAATAATTGCTCAGCTCTTGTTGACCTGGATGGAAGCTCTATAAGGGTTTTAATGTACGAGGAAACCAGAGATCCCAGAGAAAAACTAATGTGGCTGTAAAATATTTGTTCTGAAACTGGATCAATATTGACTCTCAAACAAAGAAAATCCAAAATTTTAACATCAGAATTGTTACCACATCACAATCTAATGCTGAATTTGATTGGTTCTAACACTGTGCAGACTATTTCCTGATGTTAACACTGTAACTGCCCTTTAAATTATTTTATCTAACATGCAGATTTACTTGACAAGTATTTAAGCAGGGGGAGTGGCACATTACTTAGGTAGTAAGGGATCAACAATAACTGTGCTAATTTTTAAGACATTGTTAAAAGGTCCGACAACTAGCCCAAGACGTCAAGATCAAACATGTAATTACCAGTATGCTGAAATAAAATGTTGTAAAATGCTTCAGACATCAGTATCTCTGCTACACTGTACTTTTCATGTTTACACAAAGGTCTGCCACATGCATGGGTAACATCAATTTAGGAAGGCTCAGACATGTTTCCTTGTCACCCGATGTAGCAAGAATGCCCGAGGCATTTTTAATTGAGAATTGTTTCAATAAGAAGTCAGGAATATATCATTCAATATTGAAACAGCGATTGGATATTACAGTTTAACTTGTTATTTTGCCCAGAGCTACATAAGCTCTTAGTCTCCAAGGGTAATGGCTATGTGTTTTACTGTACACATGTCTTACCCAGTGTAATTAAACAGTCGGGAGTCCCAAAGCTCATGTGTTCCCTTCGGTCCATCATGGAAATAGCAGGAAGTTGTGCCGTCAAACTGGTTGAGACCATCGACAACGTTCTTAGAGGCATGGCTGTGTACAACATCCAATAGCACCACTAGCCCCGCCCCGTGGGCGGAGTCAATCATCTCCTTCAACTCTTCAGGAGTACCGAAACGACTAGAAGAAATCCAGACAATAGACAACTGAGAAAACATCACTTAGGTAATTGTCCCTAGTTTTCATAAACATCATTTATTTATAAAATGAACTATTTACTACTTATTATTATACATCATAATTGTAAATTAGCCAAATGATACAATGCATAACCTGGATACTTGCATGAACTTACTAAACAGGATACCACTGAAAAACACTTTATTCAAGCAGAACTTCAAATGCCTTAAGATTTCTGAACTTTTAGTTAACTTTCCACACTTGGTCTGCAACCCAACCAACAAGGGAGAGGTCAGGGTCTCCATATCCAAAATATCAAACTGTCATCCCCTGATGATATATACATCATGTTTGAATAAAATCACTGAACACATACTGAATGATTAAATATTTATCTCTATTTCTCCTGGGCCAAACTGTTTCTTAATACACCAATGAATTCCCTTTGCCTAAGGATGCTCCAGACCAAGTCAGAAATTGGGGTTATTCTAACACTGTACACATACTACAATACAAACTCACAGGGGAACCAGTATCTACCAAAACACAGTGGTACCAGTGTCTGCAAACACACAGGGAACCAGTATCTACAAACACACAGGGGAACCAGTATCTACAAACACACAGGGAAACCAGTGTCTGCAAACACACAGGGAACCAGTATCTACAAACACACAGGGGAACCAGTGTCTACAAACACACAGGGGAACCAGTGTCTACAAACACACAGGGGAACCAGATTCTACAAACACACAGGGGAGCTAGTATCTACAAACACACAGAGGAGCCACACACAGGGGAACCAGTGTCTATAAACACACAGGGGGGCCAGTGTCTACAAACACACAGGGAAACCAGTATCTACAAACACACAGGGGAACCAGTGTCTACAAACACACAGGGAAACCAGTATCTACAAACACACAGGGGTGCCAGTGTCTACAAACACACAGGGGAACCAGTATCTACAAACACACAGAGGAGCCACACACAGGGGAACCAGTGTCTACAAACACACAGGGGAACCAATATCTTCAAACACACAGGTGAATCAGTGCCTACAAACACACAGGGGAACCAGTGTCTAGAAACAAACAGGGGAGCCAGTGTCTTCAAACACACCGAGGAACCAGTATCTACAATCACACAGAGGTACCAGTATCTACAAACACACAGAGGAACCAGTATCTACAAACACACAGGGGAACCAGTATCTACAAACACACAGAGGAACCAGTATCTACAAACACACAGGGGAGCCAGTGTCTACAAACAAACAGGGGAGCCAGTGTCTACAAACACACAAAGGAACCAGTATCTACAATCACACAGGGGTACTAGTGTCTACAAACACACAGAGGAACCAGTATCTACAAACACACAGGGGAACCAGTATCTACAAACACACAGGGGAGCCAGTGTCTACAAACAATATCTACAATCACTGTCACACAACACACAGAGGAACCAGTATCTACAATCACACAGGGGAACCAATATCTTCAAACACACAGGTGAATCAGTGTCTACAAACACACAGGGGAACCAGTGTCTACAAACACACAGGGGAGCCAGTATCTACAATTACATAGGGGAACCAGTGTCTATAAACAAACAGGGGAGCCAGTGTCTTCAAACACACCGAGGAACCAGTATCTACAATCACACAGAGGAACCAGTATCTACAAACACACGGGAACCAGTGTCTACAAACACACAGGGGAGCAGTGTCTACAAACACACAGAGGAACCAGTATCTACAAACACACAGGGGAACCAGTGTCTACAAACACTTAGAGGAGCCACACACAGGGGAACCAGTGTCTACAAACACACAGGGGAGCCAGTGTCTACAAACACACAGGGGAACCAGTATCTACAAACACACAGAGGAACCAGTATCTACAAACACACAGGGGGACCAGTGTCTACAAACAAACAGGGGTGCCAGTGTCTACAAACACACAGGGGAACCAGTATCTACATACACACAGGGGAACCAGTATCTACAAACACACAGAGGACCCAGTATCTACAAACACACAGGGGAGCCAGTGTCTACAATCACACAGGGAACTAGTGTCTACAAACACACAGGGGTGCCAGTGTCTACAAACACACAGGGGAACCAGTATCTACAAACACACAGGGGAGCCAGTGTCTACAAACAAACAGGGGAGCCAGTGTCTACAAACACACAGGGAAACCAGTATCTACAATCACACAGGGGTACTAGTGTCTACAAACACACAGAGGAACCAGTATCTATAATCACACAGAGGAACCAGTATCTACAAACACACAGAGGAACCAGTATCTACAAACACACAGGGGAGCCAGTGTCTACAAACACATAGGGGAACCAGTGTCTATAAACACACAGGGGAACCAGTATCTACAAACACACAGAGGAACCAGTATCTACAAACACACAGGGGAGCCAGTGTCTACAAACAAACAGGGGAGCCAGTGTCTACAAACACACAGGGGAACCAGTATCTTCAAACACACAGGGGAGCCATTGTCTACAAACACACAAGGGAACTAGTGTCGACAAACACTATGGGGAGCCAGTGTCTACAAACACACAGGGGAACCAGTGTCTACAAACACACAGGGGAACCAGTATCTACAAACTCACAGGGGTTCCAGTGTCTACCAACACACAGGGGAGCCAGTGTCTACAAACACACAGAGGAGTCACACACAGTGGAACCAGTGTCTACAAACACACAGGGGAACCAGTGTCTACAAACACACAGGGGAACCAGTGTCTACAAACAAACAGGGGAGCCAGTGTCTACAAACACACAGAGGAGCCAGTGTCTACAAACACACAGAGGAGCCACACACAGGGGAACCAGTATCTACAAACACACAGGGGAACCAATGTCTACAAACACACAGGGGAGCCAGTGTCTACAAACACACAGAGGAGCCAGTGTCTACAAACACATAGGGGAACCAGTGTCTACAAACACACAGAGGAGCCAGTGTATTCAAGCATACCAGGGAATCAGTGCAGTGGGTTACATTTTAAATTAGTAATGGCCGGTAGATTATTTTCTATTACCTGTCACATATATTCCATTCTATAGTATAAATAAACGCTTCTGACCTCCTGACTGACCAGGGCTGGTCATATATACTATACCTTGATGCAGCAAAGAAGCTTGTGATTTGATATCCGAAACTGGCATAGTAAGCATGCTCCATTACGGCCATCAGCTGGATAGCATTATAGCCTGTAACACAACATTGTAGTCTGTACAACACTGTCAAATCCAAGATGGCCACCAGACAGCCATCTTGTTTTATGTCAGTCTCAAAAAAGTCACACAATTATGTACCAAGGGGAACATACACATAAAATTGGAACGAGATCCATCCTGTACTTCTTGGGAAATAGAGATATCAAGAATTATTGAAGGATTGACAACAGATGAATGGATGATTGAAGAAAGGCAATATAGACAGCCCACCATCTAATACATGTATATGGTGGGCTAAAAACCAGCAGAACACACAATCTTAAAAAATAATACCAATATAAAACGCATGTAAAATTCATTTTTTAAGTTTATCGAATTATTATCAATATTTTATATTAAAAATAACTTCCTACATACAACATCTGTACAAATAATGTCCTTACCTAGACTCTTTATACGTGGTATTACATCTCGTGAAAACTCTTTATATGTTGATACCTTGCCTTCCCATGAAGATATTCCTACATGGGATTCATAGATCCGCAGGCTGTCTAGCTTTGGGGGATGAGGATTCTTAAAAGTGTATGGCTGAAATAAAGCAAGGCTGTGTAATGCTTCAACAGGGAAGGTAAAAGTGTCATTGTTTGTTTGCTTGTTCAGGGTATTACTTCCCATCTTCAGCTAATTACATAAGTTTAATGGTGTCTGCAGATGACGGAACAAGGCTAGCATAACTGTAAAGTACCTCATTAAAATATCAAAATTTGGACACTGTCGCATGACACCCCACCAGCTGGTCACATCATTCTGAGAATGAGCCGCTCATGTCCCTCAGGAGACAATTCCAAAATGAAAGAGAAGGTAAGAAGAGTACTACAAGGGTGGATACACTTCCTGTATACCATGTAGTATCCATCTATTAAACTCATTATAAAATGTACTGTGATTGCTATATTAAGCAAATGGACATAATAGATGCATGAAACTATGCAAAAAATGGATTTATGTTTTTTATATTTTAAACTTTGACATCTCAAAATAGCAAATTTAGGCAGATGTAGGAGCTAATATGAGATAAGCCTTAGAGAAAATGATGAATGGTAAATCAAAGGCCATAACTCTGTCTCTGTGTTTATACATTGTATTTCAGGAATTTTTTACCGAAGTTTAATTTTCAACTTTTTTCATCCTTCATAATGAGAGCAAATTTACCATTACAGCAAACATTACTCAGCAACATAATAAACACAGTATCAATCAAACGTGCATTTAATACCTGGTAAATAGGAAACAGAGAGAGGGGGAGGTACACAAGAATCTAATACAGTTCAAAATACTCATTCTATGGTAACAAGAGTACATCTGCCCTGGATACGGCGATGCCTGCTGAGAAATGAACCATAACTCTCTCTTTCTGGCTATTGTAGGTGACAGATGAGATATCTTCCTGACAAACAATGCAAGGATTGACTGGTGTAGTGAGTGCGTACCCTTAGTGGCATCCTATAGTACCAGTAGTGGACATATATAGGGGCAGGGAAGACAGGGATCTACTAATGCCTAACATGTACATACATTTGGGGGGTCCCAAAACACTTGATCGAACACAGGAACCTTTTCCTGGCTCACAACATAGTTGGCCCAAGGACTGAGTCGGTCTACCAGCTCCCCAGACTTTTTGCGGATCACCAGCTGTAAAAGAAAAGCTCAATTAATATCTTAAACATTCATTGCAGCACAAATAACTCAAAGTACAGTGAAACTTGTCTGTCAAGTCCCTCTGAAGGAGTTAGCAATGTATTCTGTATAAACAGAATATCATATAGAAAATACTGTAAATATATGAGGTATTCTTTATTAAAACGATAGTTTCATCAATATGGTGTTTTTATACACAGGTAGTCTTTATAAACAGGTTATCATTAACACAAAAAATATATGAATTATTCTTCATATGACAGTTAAGGAACTTTATACCAAATGGAGTGATAGTTAGGGGTCTCTATACAAAAGTTGTCTTCATACACAGGTTATCATATATAGAAACACTATATGGAGTATTATTTATAATGAAAGTTGGGGATCTCTATACAAAAGTAGCTATACACAGTGAATCCTGCTCATGTGAACACCTTCATCAAGAAACCACCTTTGTTAAAATACCACCTTCAATGTTTCCCAATTTAGTGACTTAATTGCACACTGAACTTGTGTTAAGAGACCACCTGTTATAATAGACCACCTGTTATAAGAGGCCACCTGTTATAAGAGACCACCTGTTATAAGAGACCACCTGTTATAAGAGGCCACCTGTTATAAGAGACCACCTGTTATAAGAGACCCCTTCCTTAAGTTCTTACAAACAAATTACCCCTAATTACACAGGTTCCTGTATAGATTGTTTTTTCTGGTTGTCTGAAATTCTTTTGCCTTGTTAATTTCTTTTTAATGCTGGTTTATTTTTTAGTTAATTGAAGAAGAAGAAAATTAAAAGACTGCACATTTTATCAAAGGTCATGTACATTTATGCTGAGAGTTCACTTTCAAATGTCAAGTAGTTATACTAATCAAGTCACAATGCTCCTACAATAATTTTGGCCGCATTTAAAAAAAATAAAAAATTAGCAGAACAATTGTTAACATTCAAGGAACAATATTCCATATGTGACTATCACAAGTAAAGTAATTTACTCTTGAAATGGATTTACTATTCATTTTTTTTTTTCAATATTTATTTATTGTAAACTTTTTTGTATTGTAGTAATGTTATGTATGTATTTTTCACCTTTCAAAAAAAATATCCTCTTGAGTGAATGGACCTAAAAAATCTGACCCTGAAGCTGAGATATCCCCATCGCCAGAAACAATATATTTTATATACCAGTCATCAGCAATCAACTGATTGTGGAGGAGTGTATCTGCCTGTTGACAGGAACATCTTTATTACATGTACCTTAATTTTGCTGTTGTGTGAAATAGGACATGAGCCATCCGGGTTAGGTGGTAGTGTTAGGTGCCACTTTCCAAACTCTCCTTTGGTAAACGGATACTGTGTTTGTGCCCAGTTATCTTGAAAGAAATCGAAGCAAAATACAACAACCTCATACAAAACAAAAGAAGTTAACATCATATTCTCTGCTTAAAAAGAACATCATTCATTGTTAAATTTCCACCGACAACCTTAAACTTGACGTTTTTCTGTCATACATTTTTTTGTGACTAAATCATTTATTCAGTACAATATACAACACATTTGTTATACAGGATTAAGGCAGGTAACAACAGAATATGTCCTGTCAGAAATATGTGATCACAACACTGCCATGATATTCATAATTTGTCCGGGTTTAATGTCCTCGCAACAGCCAGGGTCATACGAGGATGGAACAGCCAGGGTCATACGAGGATGGAACAGCCAGGGTCATACGAGGGTCACACGAGGATGGCTGCCATGATCAACCATCCTTTTATTGGAGTACCCGGACAAATATCAATGACCTGCGACCAGTACCTGGCAACTGCCCAAGGAAGCCCTCAAAACTCCCCACCCAGTGGTGGAGGAGTAAGTGATCGTAGACAGCCTTAACCAATTGGGCACCGTGTTTGTCAATACATATTGTAAACAAGAGGCCCAGAGGGCCTGTATCGCTCCCCTGAATATTTAAGCAGTCATAGCAAAATATTCTCATTCAATATTATATTGCACTACAAATATTTCCCTCACAAACTTTGTCAGCTCCATCTGTTGAAACTACCAGCCAATATTATTATAAGATTCTATGCTTTTTGGTTCTTCTTCAGAAGTTAATTGACAAATTTTTTCCCTGTGACCTTGTAAGTAGGTCAATGTCATTTTCCTTCTCATACTTTGTTAGCTCTATCCCAAAAATCTACCAGCCAAATCTTATAAATCCATTCCATTTGGTTCTTAAGAACAAATCCTTTAAAATGCTGTTGAACTCTGTCCTTTAAGGTAGGTTGAGGTCATTTTCATTCGAAAACTTTGGTGAGCTCTATCCTAGGAAACCACCAGCCAAATATTATAATTTTATGCTTTCGATTATTCAGAAGATGCCGTTTGATGTTTTTGACATATTTGACACCTGTGACCTTAAAAGAAGGTCAAGGTCATTTTCATTCTCAAACTTTGTCTGGCTCCATCCTAGGAAGCCACCAGCCAAATATGAAGATTCTATACCTTTTAATTCTTCAGAAGAAGTCGTTTGAAGCGTTTGACATATTTGACCGCTGTGACCTTTGAAAATAAGGCAAGGTCATTTTCAAAATATGTTGGGCTCTATCCCAGGAAGCCATCAGCCAAAAATGAAGATTTTATACCTTTTAGTTTTTCAGAAGAAGTTGTTTGAAGCGTTTGACATATTTGACCGCTGTGACCTTGAAAGTATGTCAAGGTCATTTTCATTCTCAAACTTTGTCTGGCTCTATCTCAGGAAGCCAACAGCCAACAGCCAAATATAAAGATTCTATACCTTTTAGTTCTTCAGAAGAAGTCGTTTAAAGAGTTTTTACATATTTGACCACTGTGACCTTGAAAGTAAGTCAAGGTCAATTTCATTCTCAAACTTTATCGGGCTCCATCCAAGGAAGCCACCAGCGAAATATGAAGATTCTATACCTTTTTATTCTTCAGAAGAAGTCGTTTGAAGTGTTTAACATATTTGACCGCTGTGACCTTGAAAGTATGTTAAGGTCATTTTCATTTTCAAACTTTGTTGGGCTCCATCCCAGGAAGCCACCAGTCAAATATGAAGATTCTATACCTTTTAATTCATCAGCAGAAGTCGTTTGAAGTGTTTTACATATTTGACCGATGTGACCTTGAAAGTATGTCAAGGTCATTTTCATTTTCAAACTTTGTTGGGCTCCATTCCAGGAAGCCATAAGCCAAATATGAAGATTCTATCCCTTTTAGTTCTTCAGAAGAAGTCGTTTGAAGAGTTTGACACATTTGACCCCTGTGACCTTGAAAGTAGGTCAAGGTAGTTTTCATTCTCAAACTTTGTCCGGCTCTATCTCATGAAGCCAACAGCCAAATATGAAGGTTCTATGCCTTTTCGTTCTTCAGAAGAAGTCGTTTGAAGTGTTTTACATAATTGACAGCTGTGACATTGAAAGCACGTCAAGGTCATTTTCATTCTCAAACTTTGTCTGGCTCCATCCTAGGAAGCCACCAGCCAAATATGAAGATTCTATACCATTTATTTCTTCAGAAGAAGTTGTTTGAAGTTTTTGACACATTTGACCCCTGTGACCTTAAAAGTAGGTCAAGGTCATTTTCATTCCAAACTTTGTCAGGCTCCTACCAACAAAGCTATCACCCAAATATCATGACTCTAGGCCTGTCCATTTTTCAGAAGAAGTCGTTAAAAGGAAAAGTTGACGGACGACGGACGCCGCGCCATGGCATAAGCTCACTAGCCCTTTGGACAGGTGAGCTAATAAGCATGTGCAATGTTATTTCACAAAGTTATGTTGTTATGTATGTACTGGTATACAATTGTCTGTGTAAACGCTAAGCAGAGAAGATACTAAGAAAGGACTTACCACATGGTCATCCCTGAATTAAAAACTCTTGACCACTCTCTCAAACTACTGACCATGCCATCTTTCTTATCATTGTTTAAAAGATTTTATTCTATGTTGATTTTTTTTTAGATTTTTATTTTGAGTACTGAGTGGTAGGTAGGTCAAACATGTACCATCAACAGGTAGAATGGACAACTGACCATGCTGATGATAGGATATTCTAATTATTCTTGTGTGATTTTGATTTAAGTGAGAGCAGAAAAACTGCTAGAATTGTATTGTCTAAAATTACTATTCAAATCATGTAAGCTATACAACATTCATCTATTTCGAAGCCATTTAACTGGTTGTAATATCACAATGAAAAGTTACTATGATTTCATGTTTATTTTAGCTGGAACTATATTATGCATCTCAATTTGATCAAAACATGTACATTTTATTGACTTATTACAAAAGAGTTGCTGCCTGGGTTTTTTATTTGTTTTTAAACAATAATGAATGCAAATAAGGCTTAATCAAGCTATAACATGGCATATTTTCCATGTTTTTATACGTGTTGTGCAGCTGTATACAGTGAAAATGGACTGATCATAAAAATAAAGGACCTGACAGATTATACACTGATAGCGCATTCAACATACATAACACACCTTCATATGTGTATTTATAAACTACACTATAACTTTTTTAAATTCAATACTTTAAAAGTGTTACAGCCAAATAAATTCAGGTAAAACCTAAAAATATCAATGATCTGATAAATGATTTGGTAATATAAAACGGACTCTTTCATCAAATCAAACCCTAGGTACATCGTAGGTAGCAGTATACAGTAAAAATAGCTTGATCCAAAAATAAAAGGACATGACTGAGATATGCATCAATAGCTGATTCACATTGGAAAACTCACCTTTACACCATATTTATAAACTACGTTATAAACAGGTATCGATGCATATTAGTAATGAAAATTTTAAACATTGGGCACCAAATCAAAAATTGCCAAAAAAAATCAAGCCCACGCTTGACCACGAAAATATTGTGGGGTTTTCCCCTCAAAATCTGTCTGGAATTAAACATAACTTTCTTGGTAACAAAAATAATCAGGTTTTAGCAAAATATCCTTCAGTTGATTTTTTACAATATTACAAGAAAACCCTATATGTAGAGCTAGCTATTGTTATTCATTTTATACAAAAATATCGTCCATGCCCAGAGCACCAAGTACTTTATACTTTTATACATGTTTATCCTTGTATATTTCAGATTTTCAAGTGACAGATATTTTGCTTGACATTAGGCAACAAAACAAATAATGCCCTAAATCCTATTAAAAATCTGTATAATCAGATGATCTATACTATGATTGGGTAATAAAATTAACTTGTCTCTTTCATTGAATCAAACCATAAGTTTACCCAAACTGTAAAAACAAATCACACCTCCTACATTTTAGAAACAAAGCTCAAACTTAAACAAAACAATTATAAACAGGCTAAATCAGGCCTTACTGAACTCTCCCCTTAGGTAGAGGCCCTCTGCTCCTGGTGCCCACTCCATCATACAGATCCCATTGTCCGGTGTTCTGTGAATTCCAAAGCTCTCGTAGCCCTTCGAAAATTTCTCCAAGCCTCCTTCTGACTGGCTGATATCATTGACAACTTTCTGGAAGCAGCCATACCTTGTAAAATAATATAAATCCTTGTAAGAGTCTTTAACATAAATACAATGTTTTCCTGCATTGCTTGTGGCCTGTTGTTAATTCTACATTTCAGTATTGTAACCACACATTTCATTGGTTAATAATTGTATATATATTTCAATAAGCTGTATCAGGAGAGGAAAAATGTAACGGCAGGACCGGGGTTCGAACCCTGGACCCTCCGAGCTATATACGGAATCTCTACCATTTGAGCTATCTGGTCGCCGATCCCTCGGAGACACAACTATTTACAACCCAGGTTCGAGTATCTCCTTGCCAAGCATACACCAAACGCTTGGAGCAAGGGTTGGTCGCAGGCACCACTGTAACTGGAAAGGAAAAATTGCATGGCCAGACCGGGGTTCAAACCCGGGACCTTCCCAACTCTAGACAGATGCTCTACCAATTGAGCTACCTGGTTGCCGACGATCGACCCAGTCCAGTTCTGCTACAAAGTAATAGATATGTGCATGTTTGTGTTATTTTCTGATAAACCATGCAAGGGAAATGCTCTTTTAGAAGCCTCGTAGGTATTTCAATTGTAAACATGAAGGCCATTTGTTACATGTAGATGACAAGACAAGTAACGGTGTGGGCTTGCATGTGTTTATCTAATAATTTCTAATTTAACTTGACAACTTATTTGTAAAATGAAAATGAGACATCACACCACAATTTTTTGAAAGAGCAAAAGAATTATAATAATTGGATTACCTAGGTCATATTGCCTAATAGACACTGAATTATTAAGTAATAAATGAAGTAATAAATGGGGTATGTCATTCAAGGTGGCAAAATGTTACATCCCTCCGAACTTAATCATGATCTTGGTCACCTAGCCGCTACAGTTTAATACCAACTCAGCAGAGTGGAAGGTACTTAGAGGTTGCTATTCACAACATAAAATTGGATGCTCACATCTGCACCATCACAAATTAAGCAAATGCCACAGTTAGTTTCTTAAGACAGAATCTAGTGTGACAGTGTCCTTTAATTGTCACTGAATCTAGTGTGACAGTGTCCTTTAATTGTCACTGCAATCAACAGCTTACAAATGCATATTAAGATCTGTCTTGGAATGTAGCTCAACAATATGGGATCTGTACCAGCAAAACAGCACCCATACTAATTGGAAAAGATACAACATCATGCTGCCCAGTTCAAAAACAAGAAATTTAGCAGCATGACATCTGCAATGCTAGACACCCTGGATCTACCATCACTCAGGGATCACAGACGGACCTTTCACTTGTCCTATTCTATAAAATAGTGAAGGGGCCGGTGACTATACCTCATTAAATCAAGTCTTGACCTCAGTAAATAATCAGACAAGTTGCCATGACAGTGAAATTTCCAGCAGTTTTAGTAAAATACGGACTGATACAGACAGATACTTTTAATTACCCTTAGGTGACCTCTATCAAAATAGATCAGAATGGCACTTTAATGTGTGAATGCACATTCAAAACCATATACATCTAGGTACAGCACAGTTTTTATTTCACATATGAAATATAAAAAAAAATGTTGACTGAACCACTGAAGGAGAGCTTTGAACTTTTGAAGAAGTCAATGCTCTTCAATACAAATCATAAAACACGCTTTTTACAGTTGATTAGAACATACTAGGTCGACACTTAGCACTACAGCTAACTAATGTACAGTACTGCAGTGTATCAACCAACATCACCCCATACAGTAGACATGCATGCTGCACGCATTCTTGCAAGTGCAAATTGTACAGACCCGTTTCAACTCCAATACATATGCAATAAATGTTATAGAAAGTGGTATTTACCTTCTTCTGATTTCTTTTTCGACATTTCTAAGGTAAGGGTCGATGTCAAACAGATTCTCTATCTCCGGAACGTCACACACATCATGTCCATCACCGGCCATGCTAGCCACTATATATCGTGTATAACCTTGACCCGAGACTGAACTAGTACTGGAGCTGTCAAAACAGTTACCTCAGCCTACCATGTGCAACGGTATAATCGGCCGACGCGTTCCGAAATATCCGAGATGTTCCGAATACTACTTTCATTTTGATCAGGAAGTTTAAAAGTTGATTATCATGGATCCGGATACACGATCAGAACAGCTGAAAGAATGCTTTCAAACGATTGATAATCTTTTCAAAAGTTTTTCGGGAATAAGCGAAAAACTAGACATAACAGTTAAGGAAGTTAAATCCATTGTTAACACGATCTATGACCACGTGAAAGATTTGCTTCAACTTTCAAAGAAATCTTCCTCCATCGCCTGCGTGGCGCCAAGTAGCTTGAATGAGAGGAAATTCCTTGGTGAGGGCCATTTTGGAATGGTCTTTGAGTGTAAATTGAATGGATCAAGGGTGGCTGTCAAAACACTTAAAGAACAAGCTAAGACTAAATTCCGTGAATCTGACCTGCTCCGTTATCTAACTCATGACAACATTGTGGCTTACCGTGGCATGGGTTATATGACTGAGAATGAAATGAGAGAGTTGTTGCCGGACCTACATGGAAATGTGTTAGATGGGGACCAACACATGTTCCTGGTGATGGAGTTCATGTCCAAGAACTTGTTCCAGTACATTAAGGATCTGGAAACACATGAGAGACATGGTCTAACTGAGAGCCAGACGTGGAGTGTCGGTAAGCAGATATCTAGTGCTTTAGCCTACCTCCACTCTCTGGACGTGGTACATCGGGACCTGAAGCCGGACAACATCCTCATAGAGGTGGGGCCTAACCGCATCTTGGTGAAAGTGGCAGACTTCGGGCTGGCATGGTACAGCCACAATGACACAAAGCAAATGGACTATGTCAGACCTTCTGGATCATCAAGATTTCGAGGTGGAAGTTCTTACTATTTAAATATTCGATGGGGAGCCCCAGAGTTTGCCAGATATGAGGAGAAAGAATTCCTCATTGAGGATTACCAACGAGGAGACATGTATTCATTTGGATTGGTGATGGCTTATACACTCACTGGAAAGAAAGCTTTGGCCAATATATCCTCTTCACGACTTTCTTCATCAACACCTGACAGTGAGCCAGACAGTGACCCTGTGGAATTACCAAAATCCCTGGAAGGGACTCTACGAACAGTTATTGAAACATGTGTGCAACTTGATCCGGAAGCAAGAAAGAGCGCCAAAGATCTGTTGACAGAATATTTCTCCGTGGATAAGAATCCATACCAGATTGATCCTACACAGGTGGAGTTTTTCTCCTGTGGATTCATGGAGAAAACTGACATATTTGTGGCAGATTCCTGCATAGAAGAAGGTGATGCAAAACAAGGCTACTTTGAATCTGGTACCAGAAAGAGGCCAACAGGCTATGACCACAAAGACTTGATATGTAAGATAGAAACCAGAAATGCCCCATATCGAGACATACCTGACCAATGGGCACAGGATGATGAGTTAGCTCTGTACCAGGACTGTCTTCAAAAATATCTAAACATGGCTAAGAAGAGAGAGATAGATAACAATCCTACAACTGCACTGAAAGGTTTGGTGTTAGCCAGACCTGGAGAGGATGAAAAGCAAACAATTGATCTGCTCTTTGAGGAGTCTGACTATTGCCATCATAGAAGTATGCGAGAAATTTGGATGTCACTCTCTCCCACAGAAAAAAATACGGAAGTCCCTTACAAAGGGGATGTCCATCCATACTTCAGCAATTCATTTGGACTCCATGTTGCCATTCTGACCAATGAGGGTCCAGACAAGCCTCAGAAGTTTGTATTTCCCCAGAGAGCAAGAAGAAAGGGCATGTCAAGCCCAGGAAATTTTACATGTGGGGCAGTAGAGAGTGTTTCCAAACCAGACTATATTAAAAGTGGAGGTGATACACATGTCAATCTACTGAGCACAGCTGTGAGGGGATTAATGGAGGAAATAGGTCTGGAGTTGACTGGGAAAGATTTAGATGCCATTTGCCTGACAACAATATACCTTAAGTTTGACTTCCATGAGTGGGGCATGTGTGGCTTTGTCGACCTGAAAGATGAGAGGATAGCTGAGCAGCATCGCCTGAGTGCAGAAAATATTAAGGCACGCTTCACCAGTGGACCGAAGGACAAGTTTGAACACCAAACTCTGACCTTTGTGGACTTCGAGTTGGAGCCAATGGTCAAGTTTGTGTCTGAAAATCATGAGAACTTTGCAAGTTCAGCCAAACTGGTGGTGGTCAAAGTACTTGAAGCCTTCTTTGGAAGTGATAAAGTACACCAGAAATTTAACCAGGATATGTAGGTAGTGTAAACAGTCAAAGTATTGAAGTCTTAGTTTAAGATAAATATTGGGTGATGGAGTAGGGTCACTCTGGCCTTCAGCTGAGAAAAGTTTTTAGACAGAGAAATAAAAGACAAAAAAAAGATGCCACGGCCGATCAGCATCATATCATGACATCATTTTTCATAAATAGCATCACCGGAACGAACATTTCTGACCTCCGGGAAAGATCTGGTTGATGATGTTGTATTCAGTGTCAAATAACTCCTTTGTGGCAATTTAGTAGATTTACATATGGAGGACCTACCAATATTCTATCATAGGCAGTGGAGTGTGTACACCAAGTTCTACAGTTGAGTTTGTACACCAAGTTCTACACTGGAGTTTGTACACCAAGTTCTACACTGGAGTTTGTACACTAAGTTCTACACTGGAGTTTGTACACTACGTTCTACAGTGGAGTGTGTATACCAAGTTCTATAGTGGAGTTTGTACACCAAGTTCTACACTGGAGTTTGTACACCAAGTTCTACACTGGAGTTTGTACACCAAGTTCTACACTGGAGTTTGTACACCAGTGGAGTCTGTACACAAAGTTTGACACTGGAGTTTGTACACCAAGTTCTACAGTGTAGTTTGTACACCAAGTTCTACACTGGAGTTTGTACACCAAGTTCTACAGTAGAGTTTGTACACCAAGTTCTACAGTGTAGTTTGTACACCAAGTTCTACAGTGGACAGCATACATTTTATATCAACCATACTAGCTTTTTTCTCCTACCTCTTACCAGGTTTTAGGTAAAAGTCAAAGCTGACATTGAATGGTCAATGCAGTAGAGATCCTAGATAACCTATTATACAAAAACATATCTGCCTTATCAACATTACTTAACAGGAGATTGTTTAGTGATCATGAAACAAACCTGTAACAAAAAAGTTCTCCACACTTTCTTTGTTAAGGCCAAACAAATTATGTATGTTTCAGGTTCCCTGACCGACCCTAGTTTTTACGGTCCCTAGTATATTTTTTTTCTCATTACACATGTCTATTTCATAGGCAGGTATCACATCCCACATAATGATCTAAAGACCATAAAACATAATGAAAAATAAATGATATTGGCCAGAATTCCTTAAACTAGCCCCACCCCCCAACCCCTATTTTTTTTTATATATATTCCTACGGACCTACCCTTTTTTCAGTCATGTTACCTGAAAAAACATACAACATACCTATTTCTTATTTTGACCTATACAATTGTATCTTTCTTAAAACTACATTAATTTTGTATTTATATCAACATAGGTTGTTAGACATATTGTAGATGAAAAATGATTTTTTTGTGATACTTTTGGTAATGCTCAAAGATGTGTTGTTTGCCTAAACGTTTACTTCAATATTGGAATATTTTACATGTAGATTTTAAACTTAATGTTATATCTGTTTTTACCACAGGATTGAAGTTGTGTCATGTTCTTACTCAGTGATTTAAAGATATTTTTAATGTGTTTTTATTTTATCTTTATTAAAGATCAGGCAATTTTAATATTACACCTCAGAGATTAATTTTGACAATATATATATATATATGGAAGTTTTAAATTTGTGTTGATCCTTATTTGTCCAACCCTTACTATATTGAGAAAACTTCCCCTAAAACAGATCACTGTAATTTTTTAACAGTACATTACAGGTATATTTCAGTTACACATTCTCTGTTCTCACTCATTTTCTTTTATTGCTTTGCCCCCATTTTTTTTGCATTCTCAAATATAAAATAATATGAGTTATTATTTTTTCATATTATTCCCGACAAGTGATTGGCCAGGAGTGCATCACGTGTCCTCCGATAAAAAACGATATTGACTTGGAGCGCGTGATTTTTGTTGAAGGACTGGGTGTTTCTAAAAATAGAATTATGACGTGTCTCCAAACAATACACCGTCCCACTCCCGAAGCTTTTTTGTTGTGTGTTTTTTTTAGTTTGCAAACATTACTGTTTTGTAAAATAATAAAACAATTGAAGCCTTTAACTCCGGTTAATACCTGGATTTATTGACCCGAGAAAAGATTTATAAACCTCGGACTGCGTCCTCGGTCAATATATCTTTTCTCGGGTCGATAAATCCAGGTATCGACCTCAGCCAAAGGCTATAATTGAATATTATACCAATTTTGAATTACTATTATTCACTCGGGCAATTGTTTTCATTCATAACTCTATATAAAATTAAGCCATATCACATTGCTTAACATGACATGTATGCAATAATTATAGGTGAGAAATATATTGAACCTGGTATATCAAGTGTTATTACATACTTACTATTAAATACAGGTTTTTTGAATATGCGATACGACACAATTGCTCTTACCCATATCAGCCCTCGCCATATGACACCCCAAAAACCGTATCAGCCCCAGCTGTATCACACCCCAAAACCTGTACCGGCCCACAAAACCCGTATCAGCCCGCAAAACCCTTATCACACCCCAAAACCTGTATCAGCCCGCAAAACCCGCATGACACCCCAAAACCCGTAGGACACCCCAAAACCTGTATCAGCCCGCAAAACCCGTATGACACCCCAAAACCCTTTATCAGCCCGCAAAACCCGTATGACACCCCAAAACCTGTATCAGCCTGCAAAACCTGTATGACACCCCAAAACCTGTATCAGCTCGCAAAACTCGCATCACACCTCTTTTGGATTTTATTTTCGTTTTTCAATATTTCAAAAGAAAATAGATTATAAGGTAGTAGCTTTTATTAGTAAGTATGTAATAAACAGAATAAAAAATGCCTTTTTCCATATCACACCCAGTATCAACCCTCGACCAATATCAGCCCTTGGGCCTTCGGTCCTTGTACTGATATTGCAGTCTCGGATTTATACTGGGTGTTATATGGAAAAAGACATGTATTATTCTCTATTTATGTACTGTTATAGAGGAAGAAAGAAAGGGATAGAGGAATAAGAAATGAGAGGAACTTGTATCATTCTTTTCACATGTGTTAATTTTGCCACTATTGACATCTATACATCTGACATCTGGGGGTTTTGCCACTATTGACATTTATTGTGCTAATTGTGACATCTCTTACTTTTGCCACTATTGACATTAAAAGTATTATACATATAATAATATTTCGAGATTTTTTTATACCGCTTTATCACAACGTAGTTTGTATGTCGTCTCAAAGCGGTTCACAAATTATTGTCCTTGGTATCTTTCTCAACTCCTTGGGGAGCATACAGCTGGTGCTGCCATTTCGGATCTCACAGCTAGCATTCAACAATTCTAGCTCTGCTCAACCACGTACTCAAGTACAGCTGAGTAGACTGGAACAAGCGGAATAAAGTATTTAGTTCAAAGATACAACACCGTGCCGTGACGTGACTCGAACCAGCAACCCTGAGGTCACGAGCCCGGCGTCCTACCACTAGACTACCGTGCCTCCAAATTATACTTGACACCTAGCGCCTGTTATCTTTGCCAATCATAACACAATCATATTCTGTTTTACTATGTGTATTATCACCTCAGATTTGACCTCTTTTAGAAAACAAAATATTCCATGTGTGAATTGTCACAACTACGGAGCCCCCGAAGGGACATGGTAAAACATTTACTAACCGTGAGGGGTTAGACGTAATGAACATTAGCAATATTCTACGAGGCATACTCCACAACTCCGCATTGCTCTAACCCGGATGTCCGAAAACGGAATACTGTGTATATAATGCTTTCACTAGTTTGGTATTACAGCCATTCCGAATGCTGTCCGATACTGATCTGGATACGAACACTGGATTCTGAAACTTTGTTCCACCGCTGGATCTGTTAGTTCCATTTAACTATGATTAAAGTGGTATTGTGATACTGTATTCCAGAAATGGAATTAACAGAACATTTTCTTCCTTCAGAACATTTTACTTTCTCATACCAAACTGAGGGAACACATTTTCCAAGAGACGCAAACAGAAATAATATTTATTATATGGATAGTTTTGTGAACTTTTCGAATCATATTTTAAGAAAAAATGAGGGTGCAACTTTGCGAGATTGATTAAGTTCTTGTTGAAAACATATACAAGCTGATCGAGTTCAGTGACAACGTTGTCCAGCAGTCTTTGACATTCCGGTGATCGTGCACTCTGTGACCCTCTCCTGGCCGACTTGATTTCATTTTCAGAAAGTTTGCCGCTAGTTCCCTCAATTTGATTTTCAGATAAATCGACGATGTACTGTCCTTAGAAAAAAAGACCTACGGACCACGTTGATCGGATATACCCTACTGAAGCTTGAAGCTAGAAACTGCAGTCAATATTCTTCCTCTGCCGCTGACCTTGGTCTTTACTTTAAATAAGAACAACAGCGACGTCAAGACTATAATGATTTTCTGCAGGTTTATGGATGGACTATGGTCAGGTTTTATGTTCGGCATCATGATGTCATTGTGATTTTTTTGTGCGATACATTTTTTTTATTATTCCCCTTAGTGTGTCTTGTTATTTCGTTTTTACTACCCAGGTACTCGTTTGGAGGATGTGGTATATCACTTTGATTTTACCTAGAAGCAGGAAACGCTTACCTTCCAGAACAAATGTCTTAGTCTCCTTCTACCTTTACAAGGATATGCATAGTTCCTTTATTCATCGTTATCATAGTTTTATCGATTTCGAGATCGAAATCTGGTTAATTCGTTTGTTGACAGTTATTTCCTCTTGTAGTTTTATTGTCGATGACCCAAAATGTAAGAGGTTTTGCGTTCTTTTGCTGCTCTTGACAGTGGACTGGCAACAATGGCAAAATTGCCAGTCATTAGTTTATATGTATACTAGCAGTTATGGTATTTTTCACCTGTTCATGTATACTACAATGTTGTATTGTCAGATGTCTTTTAGTGGTAGCTGCGCTCCTGTATCCCATTCCCTTTGGTCAATGTTGTCACCTCTACAGAGAAAGGGGAGGCATACATTTGTTATTTACGTAGTAGACGTATCTGTGTCTCCAATATTAATGATAATAATTATGCGTCATATACTGTAAAAGTGGACATTTTTGCGATGTTGTAATGTTCGCGGTTTTCGCATTTGGTAAAATAGTGCGAAAATATCCACATCGGAATATTCATTTATGTATATATAAAAATGTTTTCCACGCTGCGATTACTGTAAAGGATCGACACAACGCGAACATTTCCACGCCGTGATTAGTTCAAAGGATAGACACAACGCGAACATTTCCACGCCGTGATTAGTTCAAAGGATCGACACAACGCGAACATTTCCACGCCGCAATTAGTTTAAAGGATCGACACGTGCACATCGCGAACATTTCCACGCCGCGATTAGTTTAAAGGATCGACTCATCGCGGGCATTTCCACGCCGTGATTAGTTTAAAGGGTCAACACATCGCGGACATTGCCACGCCGCGATTTGTTTAAAGGATCGACACATCGCGGACATTTCCATGCCGCGATTAGTTTAAAGGGTCGACACAACAATGATTTTCACACGCAAAAGTTTCCACTTTTATAGTATCATGAATTTCAATTTAAAATACATAGTGTTTGAATATTGGGTTTGCATATTTTTTTGCAGCCCAACCCAAACAGTACACATCTAACGGTAAACGGTAAAATGATATACCAAGTTGTGGAATTCCGTAGGTTGTCTACACCGAACACTATTCTATTCATCACAAAATGACAAAAGGCAATTTTGACTTATAGATGGTGTCCGACGAATGTCAGCTATCCGAAAGCGTAACCAAAACCAGGAACAAAGAAAGCGTTGTCACGTGGTCCGAAGTAGTTATTGCGTAGACATACAATCACAAACACACACATGAAACTACTTTTCAGATAAAATTGAAACATAGATCTTTTTTAAAAATTACCCGGAAATCAAAGATAGAAAAGAAATATGACCACATCCAATCCCTCCATCATCTTCTCACGACCCTATTGGTTTGTCATCTTCTCACGTCCCTTTTGGTTTATCATCTTCTCACGTCCCTATCGGTTTATCATCTTCCCACGTCCCTATTGGTTTATCATTATCTTACGTCCCTATTGGTTAATCATCTTCTCACGTCCCTTTTGCTTTATCATCTTCTCACGTCCCTATCGGTTTATCATCTTCTCACGTCCCTATTGGTTTTTCATCTTCTCACGTCCCTAACGGTTTATCATTTTCTCACGTCCCTTTTGCTTTATCATCATCTTACGTCCCTATTGGTTTATCATCTTCTCACGTCCCTATCGCTTAATCATCTTCTCACGTCCCTATCGGATTATCATCTTCCAACGTCCCTATTGGTTTATCATCTTCTCACGTCCCTATTGGTTTATCATCTTTTCTCGTCCCTTTTGGTTTATCATCTTCTCACGTCCCTATTGGTTTATCATCTTCTCACGTCCATATCGGTTTATCATCTTCTCACGTCCCTATCGCTTAATCATATCCTCACGTCCCTATTGGTTTATCATTATCTCACATCCCTATTGGTTTATCATCTTCTCACGTCCCTATTGGTTTATCATCTTCCCTAGTCCCTATTGGTTTATCATCTTCTCACGTCCCTATTGGTTTATCATCTTCTCACGTCCCTATTGGTTTATCATCTTCTCACGTCCCTATTGGTTTATCATCTTCTCACGTCCCTATTGGTTTATCATCTTCTCACGTCCCTATTGGTTTATCATCTTCTCACGTCCCTATTGGTTTATCATCTTCTCACGTCCCTATTGGTTTATCATCTTCTCACGTCCTTATTGGTTTATCATCTTCTAACGTCCATATCGGTTTATCATCTTCTCAGGTCCCTATCGGTTAAGCATCTTCTCACGTCCCTATCGGTTTATCATCTTCTCACGTCCCTCTTGGTTTTTCATCTTCTCACGTCCCTAACGGTTTATCATCTTCTCACGTCCCTTTTGCTTTATCATCATCTCACGTCCCTATTGGTTTATCATCTTCTCACGTCCCTATCGCTTAATCATCTTCTCACGTCCCTATCGGATTATCATCTTCCAACGTCCCTATTGGTTTATCATCTTCTCACGTCCCTCTTGGTTTATCATCTTCTCACGTCCCTTTTGGTTTGTCATCTTCTCACGTCCCTTTTGGTTTGTCATCTTCTCACGTCCCTATTGGTTTATCATCTTCTCACGTCCTTTTGGTTTATCATCTTCTCACGTCCCTATTGGTTTATATAGCCATGCTTTCATGTGTTTGTTTTTCACCTGGTTAACCATATGTTCAAATTCAGCAACACCAACAACAGCGAATTGTGTTGCAGATATGGAGTTATTGCATACAAACATGGAAGTTTAAAACCCCGTTTATTTGTATTACCGGGTTTCGTTTTCAGTTTACCTTGATGCACTGTGTCTATCAAATATAAGCGAACCGGTGAACAAGGAAGTTTTTCTCAGGTTTCTGTTTTGAACGAGATTGTTAAAAACATATCAAGATATGCAGCGACAGGTTCGTATACAGAATGATCAGTCTAGCTCACCGTCGTGTAACTACTTCCGTGTCTACAAAGGAAATATGGGCTGAAATAGATGAGGACGCCATAACCATACCGCGACCAGGTGTGTGATGACGCGCGTCCCAGATTAATCATTAGAGATACAAATATATTTTAGATCTGATAGTGACATTTGGGATACTGCTCTTCCTCCCTCTAAAACAACTGATGGACGTCTGCAAACACTCGTGTGTTCTAAAAGCTGAACTGGAATTTACGTAATGAGTCATTATTCAACGATCGTCTACAGTGTGCAATCAGGGATGTGGTCGTTTTGGGTTGTGTTTAGCTACATGCATGGTAAGTCACGCGCACCAGGACCTAACCTTATGATGAAGATGCACTTTGTAAATTGCAAGTGAAAATGTGGCATTTCCAAGGATTTTGTTTACGCACCACTCACTAGACTCCATGATGTAACCGTAGTATTGGTGCTAGAAACTAACGTGCGTTTGACCATACATAAACATATCTTATTATATGCAGTGAACAAAACCAGCCGTATTAAACATGGATCTGCTGGAGCGAGAGACACTTGTACGTACTTATATGTGTAGACTGCACGACATCTTCGATAGTCTCGCCCAGTTATGTCCCGTGAACGACGATTTAGCCACTATTCTGTCAAACGGCGCTCTTCTTTTCGACGAGTTGCAGACACAAATACACGAGTTGTTCTTACTGTTCAAACTCGTTCAAAAACCAAGCTTACCGGCTTTGCTTGATCCTCGTCAGCTTTCTGACTGGGCGTTAAAAGGGGAAGGACATTTTGGTAAAGTCTATGAATGCCGTCTTCAAGGAGTACGCGTTGCTGTGAAAATATTAAAGGAACGTGCCCGGTCATCTTTCCTGGAATGTCATCTGCTTCGAAAACTTTATCACGACAACGTAGTAGCGTTCCGGGGGATGGGATTGGTGTCTCACCACCACCTTTCTCAGTGCCTCGTTGGTCAGGCGAATATAGATACAGAAACATACTCTGGACAACCTGTGTCTACTGGTCCTACTACATACGGCCACATTATGTCACAGTCAGGTATGGACAGTGGCGTGTGTATGGCTAGTCCAGCAGTCTCCACATCACCAGAACATTCAACTCATTGTGACAGTGACGTAGATATTGAGACAGGAATGCCTCCAGGAGAGTATTCCCGAACACTTGATACCAGACTTGTCGTGCCAGACAGTTGGAAGTGTGACGCTAGAGGATATGTCGATGAATCTTCGGTACAAAAGTCAGAGGCATTGTCTCCAGCGGTTACTGAGATGCAAACGGTAAGAAATGCATTAACTGATGTTCAAAACAAAGATCCTGATAATTTACAACAAGACATCAAAGGTTATGTTAGCTCATGTGAGCCCGTTGCCCAACAGATACAATCAGGACAGTTTGGAGCCGTCAAAACAACTCCGTTATGTCCAGGGTATATACTTCCGTGCAGCGTCTCCAAAACACAAACGCGCGAAAAACGTGTAGATAAAAAACGGAGATCTCTACTTCATCAGGTGATCACAAACCATGAGACTTCTATGTTTGTAGTGATGGAATACGTAGATTTGAACCTGTTGGGATACTTGCGCATGCTCACGAGTCCCCTGAGTTATGCTTGTGCGTGGGACATTTCCAGTCAAGTCTTCAACGCTATTGCATACCTTCATTCTAATGACGTTGTACATCGTGACCTTAAACCTGATAATATCTTAGTGGAAGTTGGGCCGGCAAGGTTGAGGGTCAAGGTCGCCGATTTTGGACTTGCTTGGGGCTGTGGCGTAGAAAAGCTTGTAACTTCGTCTCTTTTTAACTATGGTCTGCAGGAAGGACCTCGACGTGGATACGTGCATGTGCGATGGGGAGCCCCGGAATTCGTGTTTAAGAGCGATTTTGGCAATGCCGTCAGTCTCCAGGATTACAAACGTGGCGATATTTACTCGTTTGGGTTGGTCACCTGTTTTGCAATGTCTGGGAAGAAGGCAATGGCTCAACTTTCAACTCGGCAACTCATGTCTGCAGTACAGCGGGACCGGGGGATAAAGACAGCCGATGTCAAGTGTGACAAGGGCAAGGCTACTGACGACAACCAGTCGAAACTCTACAATACTGAGCAACTCATCGGTGATTTTGTACCCCTACCCGAGGACTTAGATGGTCCCCTTCTTGATGTCATCGAATCGTGTTTGAAGAACTGTCCTTCCCAGCGGCCAACAACAGAAGAACTTCATTCAAAATATTTCTCGCTGAAGAAAAACCCTTACGACAATGACCCCACTAATGCTGAGTTCTTCTCTTTCGGATTTCTGAAAAACACTCAAATTTATGTTGCTGATTCTTTCTTCTCGGGGCCAAACGGGTTTTATGACACAAAAGTTCGCCATTCAGGGTATAATCACGCACAGTTGATGTGTGAAATAGAAACTGTTGATGTACAACAGATGGATGTGCCTGATACGTTAGGTTTTGAACAGATAGACTTGTACACACGCACGGCTGAAAAATACCGGCTGTTGGCAGCTAGGAAGGAGATAGACAACAATGTATTAAGTGCCTTGAAGAAGCTCACATACTCAAGGTGTGGTACTAATGAAGATCAGGCTATAGAACTTCACTTCCAGGAGTCGCTCTACTGCCACCACAGGACAATGCGAGATATGTGGATATCCCTCTCTGATACAGACAAAGATAAAACCGTTCCGTGCAAGAGTATTGTCAGTCCATTGTATAGTAATTCATTTGGTCTCCATGTCGCTGTTCTGACAAACGAGGGACCTGATAGTTCTCAGAAATTTGTCTTCGCCCGAAGGTCAAGGAGATTGGGCATGGCCAGTCCAGGTGCAATCACGTGCGGTGTAGTGGAGAGCGTATCTGCCCTGGACAAGTGTCTACAAAACGGCCAATATTACGTCGATCTGGTAAATACGGCAGCCAGGGGTTTGATGGAAGAGATAGGTGTGGAGCTAACCGGAAGAGAGTTGGACGCCATTTGTCTGTCGACAGTGTATCTTAAGTTTGACTTCTATGAGTGGGGCTTGTGTGGTTTTGTCGACTTGAAGGATGAGAGGATAGTCGAGAAACACCGCCTAAGTGCGGAAAGCATCAAGGCCCGCTTCACAAGTGGACCAAAAGACAAGTTTGAGCATCAGACACTGACCTTCGTTGACTTCCAGCTTGACGACATGGTCAAGTTTGTGTCACAGAATCACGAGAACTTCGCCAGTTCGGCCAAGCTAGTAGTAGTCAAAGTTCTCGAAGCTTTCTTTGGAACGGAGCAGGTTGATAGAGCGTTCCACAGTGGCATTAAAAAGAGCGATGCCTAGCCGTGTTTTAAAATGTTGAAGCTCTTCACGGGGTTGTCTACCGAAATATATCTCCTATAAATGACTTCCGGTATGCAGTTGTTCCGTCTAAAAAAATAAACGCATATGTTCAGCAAACGTACATGTAAGTCTAAAAGGTGTCACTGAAACTGATGCCCTTGTCAAAAGCGCTACTCCACACTCCACACCACCCAACCTTCCATCCCATAGGAGTGATGCGAGGGTCTCTTGAAAGTTTATTGAAGATAAATTATTGCACCTTTGAGAGTTAAAGATAAACACCTTTAATTATAATGTGTTTAGTTTAGCATCTGTTCAATATTTATGTAAGCAATGATTGGTATCTTGATTGGTTAACACCTTTTGTAACTTTAATTGGTTAATATCCTTAACTATAGACAAAGGTGGTTTGAATGCTCTCAATGTTTGACACTCATCCGTGATGCAGTTCCACTCATACTGATAGATACTTGACAGGTGGTTACCTTTTCGAAGACCTAGAATTGATAAAAATCAGACAATGCAAACCTTGTTTGAGGTTATGAATTGAAATTTGGTTATAGATCTGTGAACTCAGCTGTCTGTGTTTTGCAGATCATTTAGTAAACTTATCATCTCAAGCAATTCTTGCGCGTTTTGACATCTTCTTCTCGTCAATCTAATTAAAATTATATCTCATGTACTTAATATGTCAATTGTATTGCATTTACAGCTATAACATATCAGTGGCGGATCAATATGCAATTTGCAATACAAACATAATACAACATCAAATAAGTGTATTGTACAATTAACGGTCAAATAAATACGAGATGTATTGTACATTCAGTAAACTTGCTTTCCTCCGCTCAAGTGACTTATTAACGTAGAAATTAATTCATAAAAAATCTGTTGATCATAAGATAACGACATTATTTTTTCAGCATATACATTAAGATAGCTCTTAATGTATCTAATTAATCTATACGATGAAAGGGACTTCATCTTTCTATACTTTACACGTTTTACACAAACGTAACGGACGAGGTATGTTTTAGTTCTGCCATACTGAATCTTGAAGTTATGATAACTTCTAAGATTTGCAAGCAATTTCCGACATTCGAAGTTGAGAACAGACATTACTTTCCTCCGCATATGCTTGCTCAATTCAACTGTACAGATTTTGTTTTCTTTTATCTTTATATTATATTCTCAAATCTTTTGATTTTGAGAGAGAAATAATGTTCACATTTCTTATTAATTTGCGTTTCAATGTAGGTATAATTAGCATTTATCATTAGCATTATAACGATCAAATTTAAAATCACTTTTATAAGTTTAAACATATTTTATTGTACAAATATACAAATGGATCGGACAACAAGTTATTGCAACTTAATAGAGTCCTCTCCTCAATACTTATTGTAAAAATAGTGTATATGTTTTGGGGGAAAGGAAAAAAGATAGGTTGGGGAAGGAAATGTGGGGTGGGAGGGGTGGGGGGGGGGGGGATGAAGGGGAGAGGGTTACCTAGAAAAGAAAACGGGTAAACTGAAAAATCGATCCGCATGTGAATAAATTATAAATTATACAGATTTCATGACATTCATCCTGGTAGATTAATTTCAAAATGAACAGAATCAATGTAACAAATAGATCAGGCAAAATAATGAAATACAATTTCATAAACTCATATAACAACTTCCACATAAATAAAAATAGAAAAGTAATTATAACTATCAAAACCTATTGCTGGATTTGATGTAATGATGCACATGTCTAAATATACTTATGTTGTTTTCTACCGAACGTTGACTATTTCCAAACAAAAGTAGTTCTAAATTAAAATTAGCATGCAAGGCATTCAAATTTTGGAGCAGGGTGTGTCTTTCGTTGTTAAAAAGTAAGCACTCACAAAAAAAGTGAAAGGCATTTTCACAGGGATGGCCACAATAACAATCTGGACTATCAACCAGATTTACTCTAAAAAGATCATATTTAAGTGGACTACACTGATGTCTAAGTTTAGTATGCAAAATGTTCAATTTACGTTCACCGAAACCTAAGTATATTGGTGGAGTAGATTGTACATTTGAAGTTAACGAGTTTTTAAAAGAATGTAATGAGGTCAATGATCGTACTGAAAGGTCCAATGAATTCCAGCCGCGAAGAGTTGAAGGTATAACAGATGAATTTGCTAGAGAAAGCCTGAAAGGACGAATTCTATAATCATCATTGTTTCTGAGGGATAACGGTTATTTTCTGCAACGGAAGATGGTAATAGAGAATTTAAATAGTCTGGAGTTAATTTGTTGTGCATGTAATACAAAAGTTGGAGTTTTCTGCGTTTTCTTCTATTCGAAAGAGTTTCTAGACCAGTTTCAAAAAGTAAGTCTTCAATTCGGGCATATGAAGGAAGACCAGTTATAATACGAGACGCTTCTCTTTGGGATTTCTCTAACATTTCTGTTTCATAAGTTGTACAACCATCCCACAATTCACAAGCATATTCTAAAACTGGTAAAATAAATGATTTATAAATCTTTAAAAGATCAATCACGATTTAATAAGTATTTTAGTCTACGTAAGACGTTGACATTTTTCATAACTTAAGTATATATTGCACAAATATGATCCCCCCATTATGCACTTGTATTAAAAATTACACCTAAATGTTTATGATGATCAGTAAAATATAAAAATTCGAAGTTAAATTCTAATTGTAAATCTTCATCAATTTCAATCAAGTTTGAAACAAAAATTACCTCAGTTTTTTCTGGTTTGAATGTTACTAACCAAGTTTGGGACCATGCATTAAGAGACTCGAGATTCATAACCGTTTGGATTTCTAGACATGAAGAGGATGATTTAAACAAAGAAGTATCGTCTGCAAAAAGGCGAGAAGTTGATTCAAACACATCAGCAATATCATTTATATAGATAAGACACAACAGAGGTCCAAGAATCGAACCCTTAGGAACACCTGCTTCAATGAAAAGTCGGAGTAAGAAGAATTCAAAAAGACTCTCTGGTGCCTCTAAAATAGGTTATTTTCCAACCAATGATACAATTCCCCTGAAATTCCATAGGATTTTAACTTAATCATCAACCCCTTATGCCAAACCCTATCAAAAGCCTTAGAAATATCGCAGAATACCATACATACATGTTTTTTTTTTCTTTTAGAGCAATACAGATGTTATGATAAATTTCAATGGGCTGATATACAGTAGAATGACCAGGCAAAAAACCAGACTGGTGCTTATAAAAAAAGTGAGTTTTCAATAAAATAATTATGCAAGTATTTGAAAATTACCCTCTCAAGCACTTTTCCAACTGTAGGTAATAAAGAAATTGGCCAATAGTTAGAGGGAGAATGCCTGTCACCTTTTTAAACAGTGGCATAACTTTGGCTGTTTTCCAAGAGATTGGGTAAACACCAGACGATAAAGACTTATTAAAAATCATTTCAAGGGGAACACAAACTGTTTCTGATGTGTTTCTGAGCATATGGTGACTGATTCCCTCCTCACCCGAGGCCTTACCAAGCTTTAATATCTGTAAAATATCTCGTATTTCATTATTATTGACTCTAATGTACCTAAGACTCTTGTTAGTTTTTGACTCGATGAGAGGAACCGCAGTATTTCTGTCATCTACACGAGTTATATTACAAAAATAGTCATTTAATAAATTAGCTTTGTCTTCATCACTAGTAACCACATTGTCAGAAACAGGATCTACTAGAGTAGGTATAGATTGTGTAGTACCAGACGATAGCATTAACCTTTTGATGAGTCTCCATTAAGCTTTTGGATCAGAGGACGAGTACCTTTCAATAATACCATGAACATTTTCATAAAATAGTTTACGGCCATATTTTTTCATGTTATTGACCTTATTCCGTTGAGATTTGAATTTGTTGATGTCCGAAAGATGTTTGGTTGACCTCGCAATTTTATGCAACTTATCTCTAATTTTTATTGTTTTTCTTAATTCAGAGATCATCCAAGGTTTATCATTAGGTCTCATAGTTACATCTTTTGATGGAATACATATATTTGCAAATTTTAGGAACGTATCAGTAAAACGATTACAGGCAGTATCAACTGAATCACAATTTAAAAAAAGTTCATTCCAATTATAATCAGAAATAAGATCATTAAATCTGTCAAAATCTGCCCGCTTATACAGCCAAATTTTTCGCTTAAAAATAGGTTTGACAATACAGGGAATATCAATGCAAGCAATACAACCGTCATGGTCACTCCATGATTTGTCTATAGTTATAACAGAAGAATCAATACAAGAAAGCGAGTCGGTTAAAAGTATAGGATCAAGTAGACTAGATCGAGTCGGTCCAATACGAGTTAGTTCATTGATAACATTTGCCATACTAAAGGAATTAATAATATCAAGAAAAACATGGTTACGAGATGCAGTGAATAAGTCGACGTTAAAATCACCCGTGATTAAAACATTTGGTAAAATATCTAGAGCATGGTTTAAAGACGTACGTAAATTCTCCCAAAAAAGTAAAACAGAATTACCAATACAAAATTAGGTAGAGTGATTTTTAACCAAATAATCAACTCACTTTTATAATGTTGTATATCATTTCTTATATTAACTTTGGTAACATAGACATTTCCATAGGGTTGTTTATTGACGAATAAAGTCTCTTCTAGAAAGCATTTGTGTCATTTTGTTATATTCTGAATAGATAAGCCAATGTTTGTTTATTTATATATCAATTTCTTCACAACCACCGTAGGTTTCCTCGCTCCTAACTCATTGGATAAATAGGCCCGGAGTTGGGCAACATTTTGGTAAACCACTAGTGGCGGTAAACAATAATGCATTGTCTATGTGTATGTAAAGATGTGCATGCATTACTTCAGATATTTGATTCTCTACTTGATATGCTTCTAAATGTAAACTTTATTTATTTAACAACAATTATGAAACAAAATTTTACAACTTCTATTAATCACTCTTGTTGTCTTAGTTAATGTGGGAGCAAACCGGAGTACCCAGAGAAAATCCATGATGCCTGGCAGGTGACCCCCATACATTTTCACTTCCGATCGGGGAATCGAACCCCGTCCGCCGTTCCTTGTTCAAAAACATATACATTTTTCTAGTTGTTTTTAATATGATCTTTAATAGGAAAAAAGATGGACGCAGGCAAATATCTGCCTCTATATCATATCAATGATACACTACATGTAAGTTTTTACATGTATGTTTTAATTGAATGTTACATATTCGTCATTAACAAATTAATAAAACATACGTAAAAACTTATAAATTTGCAAAGTGATCATATTTCATATCTATTTCCCAGTGTTCTGAATGGACCTCGAATTCTATAATTGTAGTGGAGTCTATAATTGTAGTGGAGTCTATAATTGTAGTGGAGTCTATAATTCTCCAAACTGTTCCATAGTCTTACTGTACTGAAGTTGAAACTGAATTTTCCGAGATCTAAATTACAATGGTTTCTTGATA